ACAGTAGCAGGGATATCAGAGTACAAGGGCTCTAGTGAGGGGAGGGAGGCTGTGGGAGGGTGCCATCTGGGAAGTGGATGTATAGTCAAACGAGATGGTTTGTGATGTTCTGTGTGATATGCACACACACAAAAAATCAACAAATTTTTTAAAATGTATTATATTTGAGGAGGAAGCATGTTTTACTTTTTTGTTTGTTGTTTTGTTTTGTCTTTTTGAGACAAGATATCTCTGTTGCCCCAGCTGGCCTGGAACTTGCTATGTAGACCAGGCTGGCCTCAGACTCACAGATCTCCACCTGCCTCTGCCTTCCAACTGCTGGGATTAAAGGCATGCAGCACCATACCCAGCCTAAATAAATGTATTTTCATTACTATTCAAGCCTGTTGAAATGTTTGGAAAAGGGAGTCATTTTTCAATCAAATTGAAAAAGATGTCAAGGGTTTGATTTTAGTCCTTTTGTTTACATGGGAAACATGCATCTTAACTCGCAAACTGCAGGTAGTCTCCTGAATTTTAGATCTACTTGAGGAGATTAATAACCAGTGTAATTTTGAATGACCAACTTACCATAGCCAAGGTTTGTGATTTCTCATTGCCTTCCAAACCCTTTTATAGTTCTTGGCAAACTTCTGTTATCTATTTAAGGCAGTAATGGAGTCCTGTTCCAAAGTACATATCCCATGCATACACTGAACGGCTGGTAAAGCCCATGGAATGATTCATTTTTTTAAGAAAGGGAAGAGACAATGGCTAAATTTAATCTTACTTCAGGCTTCTGCTCAGTCTAAGTAGATATCACATAATTATTGCCTTTTACTCCAAAGGTTACAAATATTGGTACCCTTTGTATCTCTTGATATTCAAAGGAATGGGATTTATTTTTATCTAAACAAATAAAAAAATATTTCAAACCTGTGGAGCAGAAGTTGAGGCTTTGTAAAAAGAGAGTGCAATTTCTGTCCCCCCCCCCCAGTATCATTTCCACAGTTGTAAAAGAAGACAAGGTCTGTGTGTTTTTTTGTCATTTGTGAATTTCAATGTCATTATTTTAATGTGCATTTGAAACTTATAGGCAGAATTTTACATTTCTTGTTTAAGAATCTCAATCACCTTTCAGTCAATCAAAACCAACAAACTAGTGAGGGAAACCAGCTCCTTTATAAAGCACATACCTAACATTTCCACAGTTGTAAAAGAAGACAAGGTCTGTGTGTTTTTTTGTCATTTGTGAATTTCAATGTCATTATTTTAATGTGCATTTGAAACTTATAGGCAGAATTTTACATTTCTTGTTTAAGAATCTCAATCACCTTTCAGTCAATCAAAACCAACAAACTAGTGAGGGAAACCAGCTCCTTTATAAAGCACATACCTAACAGGAGACTCAGGACTCCCAAGTCATGCTGACTTAATGTTTTAGTAAAATACATTAATTTATACCATTGGTCCTTAGAGAACCTACACCAGTTGTTAGTCTGTTCCACTTCAATGTAGTTTTTGAGTGTGAATTTGTAACAAATTATAGGGAAAAAAAAAACATCCCACACTTGAGTCTGAGGTTCTATTGTCCTATTGTATGGGTACACTTAAGGAAAGAAAGTCCATTAACTAACTTCATAATTTGAGGTGCATTTCTCTTACAGAGTAGGCAGGCTTTCATTTTTCAAGTGATGGTTTGCTTTTAAAACCCACCTTAGGTGTTCAGAAACCTTGTGTTTTGTAATATGCCACTAAACTATGGATGCTTTAATGTAGATATCCTCTTATTTAAGAAAGGCAAGCCAAATTACAGATTTGGGCTTTACCCCTCTGGAAAATTTTCCTTTTCTTCTCTTTAATTTGGACCATATACTCAACTCTTTCTAAGTCACACAATAATCTTTATTTGCACAGAAAGTTAATAAGCTTCATAATAAGGGTTATTGCAGCAAGTCTTTGTAATCAAGACTTGGAAAAAAAAGCAACTTCTTGAACATAAACTTTGTAAAACTTATACCAGTGGATTTGGCTTCATACTTCCTCCTGTAATTTTAAGGTTGTCTAAAAGCCCTTTGTCATTCCTTTACCCTTAAGTGTTTTAGTACAACATCGTAAAAATGTTCGAGCCCATAATCTTAACCTCTTTGCTTCTCTCCCTTGCAAATTGCTCTGATGTGAAGTTCAGTACAGAGCAACCTCAACAACAAAAGCAAGAAAATGTGAGGAAATATGCAAAAATCACCTAAATTGCTGTAGTGTAACTAAAAATGTTCGGTCCCTATTCAGAGCCAGCCATACATCAATGGTTGTCACAGTCCTTGTAAAGTGGTTGAGGAAGAGGACATGCAGGAACAAAAGAGTTTGTGCCAGAAATATACAAATGATTCGGTAAATGTACGCAATTATTGCTTAAGTAACAGGTTCAGATTTCCTTGGAAATCTCAATAACAGCTATTACCAATAGCTGGGTTTTTTTTTTGTCTGTCTTTTATTATAATTGAATTTTTGAGGATTTCATACAATATATTTTGATCATAATCACATATTCCTCCTCTATCTTCACTTCCTCTTACTATCCCCTGCCTGATTT